ATAATGTCCATCTTTATCTATTATGCTGGCTTTTGCCTTAAAGTTTATTTTATCCGAGATTAGCACTGCCCCTCCTGTTCGCTTTTTATTGCAGTTTGCTTGGTATATTTTTTCCCATCCTTTCACTTTTAATCTGTTTCTGTCTCTGTGACCACACCATCTCTTGACGTCATCTTCTCTGCCTCCATCTCAGGCTCCACTGCTTCTCTGGGTAGGATCCCGCTCTCTGCTTTTCTCCATTGATGGTCTTAGGGTCCTCCGCTCCTAGACTGAAAAGTTAATCACTCCCTTCCTTGCTACAAAATGTACACCTTTAGATTTCCAACCCTCACAATCAGTCCTGATAACAATTATTCAATATTGCATCACAAGAGACCCATCTGTATTTCGTTTCATCAGCCCTTCCTGAACAGGCTGGACACTATTTACTGGAGACTCTACCTTCCTCCACGCCCTTTGGATCTAGGTTCCCTCTTGAAAGCTTGTAAGCCAGTCACTTCTTACCTTTGTATCCCTCCCCCCATTTTGGGTAGCCAGTGTCCAAGTTGCCCATCCCTGTCTACCCTTTGTGTGGAGGGGATGGGAATAGTTCTTGCAGCAGGGAGACCTCTTTTGAGCTACTGCATTTATAGGTGTAGGTCATGTTTATTGAATTGTATCAGATGATGCTTTTTTCCTCTTCTTTGTTCTTCGGGTTGAGCTCTGTTTATCCAGTCATTGAAGCCAGGTCAAGTGGGTATCATCTGAGAGTGTGGGTGTTCTTGCGTCTGTCCGCTCTCTTTTTATCAGCTGGCCACCCCGCTCTCCATTCTAGTCCTCTGTGGCTGTGTCATTGACTCTGAGTCCATGAGTCCCCAGGTCTTGCCTCGCTGCTGGCCGACCAGGTCTCCACCCGGGTTCAAAGTAGTTTGCTGAACGATGTAGGGCTTAGCTCGCCACTTCATTGATGTTCTTCGGTCACTTCCCCTCTGGGTGACTTGCATGGTTGCCAATCAAAGCGTATATTTCCCTTGCATCTTAGTCTTGGAAGAGAATTTGCACGGAGAGGATCCGACCACTTGCCTTGATGTCTCCTGGGCAAGCAAACTGCATGTTCTTGTGGTAACAGTCGGACTGCTCTTATTGTTTTGTATTTTTCCTGTCGGACCTTCTTTCAAGAAGTATCTTCTGGTTTTATAGCTGCTCCCGGCTAGACCAATTCTTTTTGGTACAGTGTCTGTGTATTCATCTTCTTTTGATGTTCCCATGTCATTCAATAGTTTATACATAGAATCCTTCAGTATTACAACCTGAGGCTTAAATTTTTTGTCCAGTACTTTTAGCATGAGAAATGATGTGTGTTTTTCCCTTTTGGTTTTCTAACTCCAGATCTTTTTACATTTTGTTATAAAATTTGGCTTTGTCTCCTCAAGTTTCTCTTTGAAATTTTCTGTTCACATCTTGCACTTCATAATTTCTTCTAGTTGCTTTATCTTCTCTACGCTCAAGAGAAATGTTCAGAGTCTCTTCTGACATCTACTTTGATGTTTTATCTTTTTCGTGTATTTTTAATGACCTTTTGCTGTATCCATGTATGATGTTCTTGATGTCATTGCAGCTTTTGTGGTCTTCCGTCATTAGTGTCTAATGCATCAAATCTCTTCCTGAGATGGTCTCTATATTCAGGTGGAATATACTCAAAGTCATATTTTGGCTCTTGTGGACTTGTTTTAATTTCCTTTAGCTTCAGCCTGAACTTGCATATCAGCAATCTATTTCAGCTCCCTAATACCTAGGATATCGATATTTATGTATTTTATTTGATTTTTGACAACTTCCAATTTTCCTAGATTCATACTTGGTATAGTCCATGTTACAGTTATTAATGGATGCTTGCAGCTGTTTGATCTTATTTTGACTTGTGCCACATCAGCAAGTTAAAGTCCCAAAAGCTTCACTCCATCCACGCCATTAAAGTCAACTTTTTTTTTTTTTTTTTTTTTTTGAGAAAGCAGCTCTTCCCCAGTTGTGTTTTGAGTGCTTTCCAAACTGAGTGGCTTATCTTTTGGCACTGTATCCGACATTGTTCTTTTGCTATTCAGTGGCTAACCATTCAAAAGTGGTCTGCCTCTTCTTCCTATTCTTTCTTAGTCTGGAAGCTCTGCTGAAGTCTGATTGCCATAGATGATCCTGCTGGTATTTAAAATGCCGGTGGCATAGCTTCTAGCACCACAGCAACACACAAGCAACCACATTATGACAAATTGACAGATGAGTGGTAGAACCTATGAGTTAAGTATAGTTTTTTGCCCAGAGAAGCTAAGTAACTTGCACAAGGTCACACAGCCAGGAAATTGTAGAGCCGTGATTAAAATCCAGACAGTCTGGCTTGACTGTTACTTGTAAAGTCTACACCATACAAACTACACTGTGTCATCACTGAAGTTTTTTCAAGCTATAAATATCTGGGGCAATATGAACTTTTTGTTAGCCTTCTGCTCCTTAAACTATAATGAAGGTGGAAACGTGTGCAACATGACAGTTTACTAAATTCTGACAATACCGCCTTTCTTTTGCTAAGCTGCGTGAGCCAGCTCAGGCAACCAGGGTCAGAAGGAGAAGATGCAGCTTCAGAAATAAAACACAGACACCGGTTAGGGTTTAAGAGAGATAGCAGGATTTATGATCTCTAGGATTAAGAGCCTAGCAGGACTCATGGTCTCTAGGATCAAGAGCCCCGAGATAAAGCATGCCTCAATATTAGCTTCTGTATTCCACGAAACCTCTCAGGAAAGCATACATCAAAAAGACATCGAAGACTATTTGATTTTTTAGGCCAGGAACATTTCCTGGTATACATCCTCAAAACCAGACCCATTATTTAGCATTTCATTACCCCTAGAATGCCACACAGAGTCTGAGTAATCACATCAGGGCGTCGCGTTCTACATCAGTGTGCCGACATATTACGCTTGTTGTGAGTCACTAGCGGTGTGCTGCTTCCTCATACCATTGTCCAGACGTGACTCCCTTCCTCATGGCTAGTTCTCGGGTGGTCTCCAACACTAAGCTCTGTTTCTCTGCTTCCAGTATTGAAAGGAGGAGGTAGGAGATTATTTTTCTATAAGGAATACGAAAGAATCTTTTTTTTTATTTTTTAACTTTTTATTGTGAATTGAGTGAAGGTTTATAGACAAGATTGTTGGCTTTATATTCAACAAATTATACACTTTGTTCCATCTCATTGATTGTAATTCCTTCCGTCTAATACACTTATCCCACTTCCTCCCTGTACTTCCTGTTTTCATTCCACCCACCTTCCCACCTCTTTGTAACTGTGTCCTTAGGTCAAGCTTGGCCTTTTGATTTTGAATGATTGACTATTTGATGGTGAGCATACCTTTCAAGTGTTGTTGCTCCACTCCCCCCTATACCTATCTATTGTTTGCCTGAAAATTGGGCCACAGAGATGGGTTCCTCTAGTCTCTTTCTGACTAGTAAGTTGTTTTTTCAGTTTTGAGGATTTTTTTTTGCCACATTTTCTCCCACTCTATCTGGACCTTTCTAATGGGATCCTTTTTAGAGCAGTTGGTAATGGTAACCAGGCACCATCTAGTTCTTCTGGTCTCAGAGTCATGGAAACTAATGTCCACATGTTCCATTAGTCCATTGGACTAATTGATTTCAAACATCTTCAATTCTCATCACTTTACTTTCGTTCACACTTGAAGAGATTAATAGTTGCACCTTAGATGGCCACTCATGAGCTTTTTTAAATTAAGTTTTTGCTGTGAATTGAGTGATTGTTTACATGGGAGAACATCAGTTTTACACTCATCGTTTAATTGCACACTCATGAGCTTTTAGAATCCCAGACTCTACTCACCATAGTAGGATGTAGAACATTGTCTTTGTGGACTATGTTATGCCAATTGACCACGATGTCCCCTGAGACTATGGTCTTGATCCCCTGGGCCCAGCTACTCATTGCTGTTAAATGTTTGATAATATCTAAGAAGTTTTCTTCATTTTGCCCACTGTATGCTCTACCACATTCATAGGTATGTTTGCAGCAAAGGTAAATACCCATGTACACAATATCTACTTTTAAACTCTTATGTATGTGTGGGCATACTCCTGCTCTAGCAGTAGAAAAGAATCTTATATTTTGATTTTGGGTACACAATAAAATGTATGCTTTTCTTGCTATAGGCCATGGAACAAATCAATAGCTGCACAACTTTACAGCACCTCGATTTATCAGACAATAACATACCCCAGATTGGTGATCTATCTAAATTAGTGTCCCTGAAGGTAAGTGAGTTTTCTAGATATGTTATTTTCAAAATTTATATTGAAATATCAAGGGAAAAAAAAAAAAAGAGGATTCCAAGAAAAAGTTATCTGATTAGCCTGAAATCAGCCTTATGTATGTGAAAAACAAATCAAGTTTAGTATGATAAAAATTCTATAGGCTTACTAGTAATTCAGTATGAAACTTTTTGTTGTTAATTTCTAGAACTGATGTATTTTATATAAAACCAGTCATTGTTTGCACTCTGGTCATGTCTTCTAACATGACGGTACTCCCTTTATGTCCAGCCAGCCAGTGCTAGTAGTTCATGTTCTTTAGCATATAGCAGGTGAGATTGAGAGTCATCATCCCGGAATTTGAATCTATTTTTAACACTGAGAATTGTTTTCACTTGTATTACATTATGAAAACTTATTTTACTTTAATTGAAAAAAAACCTGTAGCATATAATACTTTTATGGAGGGGAATGTATCATGTAATCAAATATGTAGTAATTAGTATGATCTTCAAGAAACACATGTAGGGCTTTTTCCATATTTTTGCTTCACTGGATATTATTAACCTCAGAAGCAGTATTTTAGTTTAGTTTGCCCCACATCTTTAGTAGAACTCCTCTTTAGCAATAATTCTAAATGATTTGATGTCTTCAGATGTTATACTGATAGACGTCAAAAGACAATTGAACTTTTTTTTTTTCAGAATAAGTATGATTATTTTATCATCCTGGAAGCTCAGATCTTGGATTTATTCGTGATTGTTGCTGACTTCTTTTGAGTCAGCTTCATCTGCCATTAGCACATTCTACCTTGCTTGAATTTTTAGTACCAAGAGTACACAGTTGCAAATTATGGTTTTTGGGTTATCTTTCTCTCGTGAAAAATTTGTTTCATGCATGATTGTTGTTATGAATCTTTCCTTTTCATTTTTTTTCACCCACTCTTTTGATAAGGAAGCAAACAAATGTGATGGGGAAATTGCTGCTCATTATTGAATAACTTAAATCTTACAACATTCTAGTTGCTCTTCCAAACGTGTTTTTAGGAAAGTCTTTAAATTATCTTGGGCTTAGGATACTGCCTTGAGAAGAAGTAGTTGGAACAAAAGACAACCTAGGGCTCTTGTAGCAGGGGTGGTGGTGGTAATATGCCGTGGAATTGGTTCCGACTCATAGTGACCCTGTATAGGGTTTCCGAGGCTGTAAATCTTTGTGGGAGCAGAAAGCCTCATCTTTCTCCTGCGGAACAGCTGATAGTTACAAACTGCTGACCCTGAGGTTTGCAGCCCGATTTATAACTACTACGCTACCAGAGCTCCTTCTTGTAGCAGTTGTTGTTGTTGTTAAGTGCCATCGAGTCAGTTCCGACTCATAGCGACCCTGTGTAGAGTTTTCAAGGAGTGGCTGGTGAGCGTGAACCACCAACCTTGCAGTTCAAATGACTTTGCAGTCTGACGCTTTAGCCCTGCAGTGAGGATGCCATTTAGGTGCTGTTAGACAAATTTATTTGTAATCTTTTGATTTGTAATTCATCTTATTTTTACTTTCAAGACCCTGCTTTTACATGGAAACATCATCACCTCTCTCAGAATGGCATCTGCTTTTCTACCCAGAAATCTCACTGTGCTTTCTTTGGCAGAAAATGAAATCCGAGACTTAAATGAGGTAAAATTTGAGCCTGTTCTATGGGGATCAAGGAAGCTGGAAAGTCAAGGAGAAGACTTTGAGCTCAACTTTAGATTGTGAACATTTTGAAAGAAACTGCCTATCAAGAAGAAACACTTAACTCTAGATGATCATTATTTTTCTTTCCACTTTTTCTTAATGTCAGTGCGTCATTACAGCTTAGTTTTATTTGTAATGGGATAATCATTCCATTGGGAGATGAGTGTTGGTAGACTGACATCTACATTAAAGGGACTAACAAGTCACCCTGTCTACATTGGCTTAGCTGCTATTATGTTTTTTTAAAATAGGGTTTTCTCTGCTAGGAAATAGTGCTGATACTTTTGTAAGGGACTTTGTGCAGCAAGTACAAATGGCTGTATTGTTGGAATTTTGGAAGTCAGTGGATAATGGAAGAGTGTTGCTTGTAATTTTGCAGAACAAGAGAGAAGTTGTTACATGTCAAATGCTGCCAAAGATGTGTAATCAGCGGAAGCCTTGTGCTTGACATTGAATAGTCCATTTCATTCAACAAAGATGTCCTTTGTTCCAGATCTCTTACTTGGCATCCTTGACTAAACTGGAGCAGTTGTCAATCATGAACAATCCTTGTGTTATGGCAACACCTTCCATTCCAGGGTTTGACTATCGACCATACATCGTCAGCTGGTGCTTAAACCTCAGAGTCCTAGATGGATACATGATTTCTCAGAAGGAAAGGTGAATATGACCTGTAAACATTGCATTTGTCATGGACGTGACTGAACGGGCCATTTCTGGATTAATAAGTAAGGACTCGGAAACCCTGTACAGGGTCGCTATGGGTCGGAACCGACTCGATGGCACTTAACAACAACAACAAGAAGTAAGGACTTCTGGTGTGGTGCTATAGGATAAGCACTGGACTGTGAACCATAAGGTCAGCAGTTCAAACCCACCAGCTGCTCCTTGGAAACCCTACAGAGGGTCACTATGAGTCGGAACTGACTCAACAGCACTTCACAATAAATTAATAAACTGTAGTAAAGTCAGTATTTTGAAATTAAGTTAGTGCAGCTGTGTAGAAAACTATGCTGATCATATAGGATTTTTTGTCCTTTTTAAAAAAGATAATAATTGAATATCAATCCCCCAAATTTGTGGCTTGTGAGTGTGACTTAGTGCCCAACATATAACTATTTTATTTCTAAAAGTTTTTTGTTGTTGTTGTTAATCAATTGTTTGGGGCTTGAAACACATTTTTTTTGTGTGTGTGTATAGAAACTATGTTATAGATGTTGCTTAGTGACTCAGAGCATTCCACAAAAGCTTGTAACCCCAGGGCAGTATTATACTATCTATTAGCCAGCTACCGTTTATAGCAGCAACTCAGGGAAAATAGGTATAAAGTTGTGATTTTGAATTGGTCTCTGACTTGCTGATTGGTTCTTCCCTTCTCTGCTCCAACTCTGATCATTGTTTATGATTTGGAGCTAGAATCCCTATAGAATGGGGTGACATATTTGATCAGTGGAATCAGAGATTTGGGGGTAGTAAGTTCCTTGGAGGAACCCTGGTGGCACAATGGTTAAGTATTTGACTGATAACTGAAAGGTTTTCTTCTGAAACCCACAAGCTGCTCCAGGGGAGAAAAGACCTGTTGATCCACTCCTGTAATGATTACAGTCTAGAAAACCCTTTGGGGAAATTCTCCTCTGTCTTATAGGTTTGCTATGAGTTGGAGTTGAGTTGATAACACACAAGTTGCTGATTGGTGCAAATGGTTAAATGCTTAACTGTTAGCCAAAGGATTGGTGGTTTGAGTCTACCCAAGGGAATGCAGAAATCATCGGACAATATCTTTGATATCCCATGCGAGTAAACTTTTACTAAAGGTAATACAGAAACATCTGCAAGCATACATTGACAGAAAACTTCCAGAAGTTCAAGCCAGATTCAGAAGAGGACACGTGGAACAAGGGATATAATTGCTGATGTCAGATGGATCTTGGCTGAAAGCAGAGAATACCACAAAGTTGTTTACCTGTGCTTTATTGACTACGCAAAGGCCTTCAATTGTGTGGATCATGACAAGCTATGGACAACATTGCAAAGTATGAGTAGTCTAGAACACTTAATTTTGCTCATGAGCAACCTGTACATAGACCAAGAGGTAGTTGTTTGAACAGAACATGGGAACACTGAATGGTTTAAAATTAGGAAAGGTGTGTGACAAGGTTGTATTCTTTCACTATACTTATTCAACCTGTATGCTGAGCAAATAATCTGAGAGGCTGGATTATATGAAGAAAAACGTGGCATCAAGATTGGAGGAAGAAGACTCATGAACAACCTGCGATATGCAGATGATACAACCTTGCTTGCTGAAAGTGAAGAGGATATAAAGTATTTACTGATGAAGATCAAAGACCACAGTCTTTGGTATGGATTGCATCTCAATGTAAAGAAAACAAAAATCCTCATCACTGGACCAATAAACAGCATTCTTATCAATGGAGAAAAGGTTGAAGTTGTCAAAGACTTCATTTTTCTTGGATCAGCCATCAACACTGTTGGAAACAGCAGAAATCAAACGACATATTGCATTAGGCAAATCTGCTGCACAAGACCTTTTTAAAGTGTTGAAGAGAAAACATGTCAATTTGAGTTCTAAGATACCCCTGACCCAAGCCATGGTATTTTCAATAACCTCATATGCATGTGAAAATTGGACAGTGAATAAGGAAGATGGTAGAATAAGTGATGTCTTTGAGTTATGGTGTTAGAGGATAGTATTGAAAGTGCTTATGTGCTGGCAAAAGAACCAACAGATCTGTGTAGGAAGAAGTGCAGCCATAGTGCTCCTAGGAGGCCAGGATGGCCAAACTTGGTCTCTCATACTTTGGACATATTGTCAGGAGGGGCCAGTTACTGGAGAGAAATATCATGTTTAATAAGGTAGAGGGTCAGAGAAAAAGAGGAAGACCCCCCCCTCCCCCCCGCCTCCCAGCGAGATGGATTGGCAAAGTGACAGCATCAGTGGGCTCAAATGTGGCAACAATTGTGAGGTTAGCCCAGGATCGGGCAGTGTTTCATTGTGCATAGGGTCACTATGAGTCAGTACCGAATCGATGACACCTAACAACAACAACAGGGGCACTTTGGAAGAAAGCCTTGATGAAAAATCAGCTACTAAAAACCCTATGTAGTGCAATTCTATTCTGATATACAGGAGGTTGCCTTGAGTTGGATTCAACTCTGGGGGGGCAACTTTTTTTTTTTTTTTTTTGTAAGTAACTAGCATGAGGATATCCACCACTCAACTGTCACTTTGTTGTACTATGGTGGGTTGTATGTTGCTGTGAAAATGGAAGCTGTGCCACTAGTATTTCAAATACCAGCAGGGTCACCCATGGTCAACAGGTTTCTGTGGAGCTTCTATACTAAGACAGACTAGAAAGAGTGAAGAGGCAGAAGGCTTAAGGAAGACGTAAAAGAAGTTTACAAGAGCCAAAATAAAACTTTGAGCATATTCCACCTAACTTTAGAGACCATCTCAGGAATTGATTTGATGCACTGAACACTAGTGACTGAAGACCAGAAGAGTTGTGAGATTATATCAAAGACATCAGATATGAAGAAACAAAAGGTAATTAAAAAAAAACAAAAAACCAGAAACAGGAATGAAAGAAAGAACAAAATGAATGCTAGAAAAGATTCTGAAACTTGCTTTTGAACATAGAATAGCTAAAGTGAAAGGAAGAAATGATGACATAAAGAACTGAACAGAAAATTTCAAAGAACAGCATGTGGAAGCAAAGTATTATGAAATGCACAATGACCTAGTGTTATAAAACCAAAGCAGAATAACATGTTAGGCATCTCTCAAGCTGAAAAAAATCAAGTAAAATATTCAAGCCTCAATTTTCTATATTGGAGGATTCAATGGGCAAGAACATTGAGTGAAGCAGGAAGCATCAAAAGAAGATGGAAGGCACACAGAGTAGACAGGGATGGGCAACTTGGACATTGGCTACCCAAAATGGGGGCTGGGGGGCTGCAAAGGCAAGAAGTTACTGGCTTACAAGCTTTCAAGAGGGAACCTAGATCCACAGGGCTTGAAAGAAGGTAGAATCTCCAGTGAGTAGTATCCAATCTGTCTAGGCAGGGCTGATGCAATGAAATGCAGATGGGTCTCTTGTGATACAACAGTGAATAATTGTTATCAGGACTGATTGTGAGGGTTGGAAATGTAAAGGTAGACGTTTTATAGCAAGGAAGGGAGTGATTAACTTTTCAGTCTAGGAGCAGAGGTCCTTAGGACCATCAAGGGAGAAGAGCAGAGAGCGGGACTCTACCCAGAGAAGCACTGATGCCTGAAATGGAGGCAGAAATGATGACGTGGAGCGATGGAGCAGCTGGAGACTTTAGATCCAGAGAGGGAGAGCGACTGTGAGCTGAAGACCTGAGGAGTACGGGGGGCAGGATTGCAGGGTATACCCTTTGGTTGGTTGATGATGCATGGAGTGGATTGTAACCATGGCAATGAGGCGATATACGATAGAATGAATGTAAAATTAATGTTCTCCCATGTAAACTCTCACATAATTCACAATAAAACATTTAAGAAAAAAAAAAAAAGCAGATGGAAGGAAATCACAGAGTCACTGTACCAAAAATAATTGGTCAGTTTTCAGCCATATCAAGAGTAGCACATGATCAAGAATCGATAGTACTGAGGGAAGAAGTCTAAGCTGCACTAAAGGCACTGGCAAAAAACAAACAAACAAACAACAACAAGACTCCATGAATTGATGGAATAACAACTGAAATTTTTTAGTAAACAGATGCAATATTGGAGGCTCTCACTCTATGCCAAGAAATTTGGAAAACTACTACCTTGCCAATTAACTGAAAGAGATCCATATTTATGTCCATTCCAAAGAAAGATAGTCCAACATAATGTAGAAATTATCAGACAATATCATTAATATAGCACAAAAAATAAATTTTTGCTGAAGATAATTAAAAACCAGTTGCAGAAATGTGCCCTTAGGACATTTAAACAAATATATATTTATAATGTGGTATGTGTACACCAAAAAAGTAAGCCAATTATAGAGGTAATTACTGTTGGCTAAGGATGCGTGCAGAGTATTGTAATCATTACAATGATCTGTTGAATATAAAAAGGATGATCTGTCCTGTAAGCCTTCACTCACTCAATACACAATAAGAGCTTAAAAAAAAACCCTAACAAAAAAACGGTTGCAGCCATATATCAGTAGTGAATTGCCGGAAATTCAAGCTGGATTCAGAAGACATAGAACTATGGATGTCACTGCTAATGTCACGTGTCTCTTGACTAAAAGCAGAGAATACCAGAAAGATATTTACCTGCATTTTATTTATTATGTAAAGGCATTTGACTATGTGGATCATAACAAACTATAGAAAACATTGAGAAGAATGAAAATTCCAGAACACTTATTGTGCTTATGTGGAACCTTGATGTAGACCAAGAAGGAGTTGTTGTAACAGAGGCCAAGGTACAGAAATCTGCCTCAGAGGCTGATGGTTTTCATCTTTTCTTCATGTGTATCCCTGGCAACCCTGAGAAGGAAGCACACCCCCTTCTCCCTGCCAGTCCTGCCAGAAGCGACCGCCCTCCCGTCCAGCAGCAAGGACAGCAACAAGGCGCAGAGGTGGCAGGAGGCAGCTGTGTCTGCCTCCAACATTCT